TTATTCATAAGTAACACAGAGAAAATGTAATTCTGAGAACTAAACCAAAAAGGCAGATGTTTATAGAAAAAACCATATAGCTCTGCAGGGGTAGGAGAAGGGGGATACGAAGCAAAGGAAAAGGGTAACATTTTTCTGGCCAGAAAAACTCAATATTGTAAAGCTACGAGGTATTCCCAAACTAATTTACAGTATTTGAAACTCTCATACAAATCAATAAAAAAAATCTAAAAACCTCAATAAAAATGGGAAAATGGGCAAAGGAAATGAGGAAGCGGTTAACACAAGAAAATCAACTAGGCAATAAAGATATAAAACACATGAAGAGTGCTCGGCCAACAGCACTGTTGGGAAGGACACGGAACCAGGAGCGCAAGGCTGTGTTTTGGGTGGGGCAGGGGGTGGGGAGGTTGGTGATGGGATCATCTGTATTCACATCTCAAAAATATGCAGTTTTGACCCCAAAACTTCACTTCCAGAAACTTACCCTAAAGAAATAATAAGGGAGAGCTCAAGAATGTTCATTACAGCATTATTTTTAATAGAGAAAAAAGGAAGGGAGGGGTTGGAGGAGGGAAGAAATGGAAGAAACGGAAAAGCTGAACAAATGTTTGTTGCCTGGATAGAGATTGAAAGAGGCATTTATTGTACTTCTGTGAACTGCATTCATCCTTTAAGAAATGTGTTATTTAAAAATCACTGCCATCACCTTCCAAATGTGCAAATAACCCCATTATTTAAAACTCTTTCTGAAATCATCTTTTATTTAAACAACAACTAGCCTAAGATTAGGTATATATATTATGGTACAATGAAATATTAATATATGTTCAATGACCTAGATTTACATAATGTACACCCACAGTTACGGAAAGAGCAGGCTATAAAATAGCACGTACAGTGTAAAGTAGATATGCCACAAGGATATCTTGTACAGAATAGGGAAATATAGTCATTATTTTGTAATAACTATAAGTGGAGTGTCAGCTATAAAAATATTGAATCACTATGTTGTACACCTGAAACTAATATAATACTGTAAGTCAACTATACTTTAAATTTTTTTTAAATAGCATGTATAGAATAGAATACTATATTCTTATATACATTTTTATATTCATTTTTATATATTTGCAAAGAAAGGTCTAAAGAATATACACAAAACATTTAACAGTGACTGGGTTATGACCGGGTAGCAGGATTGTAATTTTTGTTTTCCTCTTTTCCTATATCTGTATTTTCTCCAGTTGCTAAAATTATTATACATCCTTTTAATTATAAGAAAAAGAAACAACATAAATGTTAATTTTTGTAAAAGGAAAAAAGTGACATATGAGTTCAGGTGCTAATGCAGCAAAGTACAAGAAATCATCTTTTCCCTTTCCTGTGAAAGGGAATAGAATAGAATGCAACAGTACACTGCTAATTCCTCCAAATGGTACTTAGTGGAGGTAATTAAAAAAACTATCCCTGTGACCACTACCACCTGGCATTCATTTAATTCTTCAATCATTCACTTGCTGATTACCTCCCATGGGCCACACTGCTGGAAAAGTTACTTTAAAAACATCTGTTCTTCTATAAAATCCAGTGCAGAATGCATTGGGTGAGTTAGGGTGGTTTATGCTTTTTTCATAATTAAATTTTTCACCTCCTACTGCCCTTAGATGCTGCAATATCCCATATGAGATTTCTCATAGTCCATCACTGTCTCCTTCCCCACCCTCACCCATAAGTGCCAAAATTTGGGAGCAATGAGGAGTAAAGCCATAGAGTTTGGCCCAGAGTGCCTTTAAATTCAAGGGTGCTCAAAAACATCATCATGACATCCTATTCAAGGATGCAACTCAAAAACCAGGAATATGTGCAGGTCACTCTGGGTTCAGTAAGCCCGAGGAGAGGATGTGGCTGTTCTGTATAATTAATGACCATCTCTGAGAGAACGGTTGGTCCCTCCAAGCTCCATCAGAAGACAGGAAACCCTAATGATCAGACTCTCCTTCCCTCTGCAGCCAAATACCTTGGCAGCTTTACAGCGGCCCCATCTTGTGGTTTATTCTTTCTGCAAGAACTCACCTTCCCTAAAGAAGAGTCCATTACTGAAAATCAAGGAAGGAGTGAACCAATGGACATGTAACACATAATAAATCCTGCTAGTGAATTAGTGAATAATGCTTGTCCATAACAGCTTTTAATGTTTCAAGCAAGCCAATGATTTCCAAAAAATAATACAAGACCCTTTAGATGAATGTGGAAGTCAGGAGAACTACAGCTCATCCTTTTCTAGTCTAGTTGGATTAAAACAACTTCAGTGAAGAAATTCCTATTTTATATAAAAGAAGAAAAAAGTTTCCCTCCCCCTCTCTGTCTCTAGAGCTATATCAATACATATGTGTCAGGTCTGGTAAGACCATTAATGAGTAGAGCTACAGTCATATGATCATAAGAGCAAATGCTGTTATGGTAAATTTAATTAAATCCAATTATTATTTACTTGGTACTTTCTAGGCACTGGACACCACAAGCTTTATAAAAGTAAAATAGCCTCTGTCCTCCATGAGCTCCCAGTCAGCTGGGAGACACAGGTATTTACCCAACTAATTTTATCTCAAGATGAATCTGATACCTCTAATAACAGAACAAACACTACGTTACAGTGGCTACAGGCACGGGCTCTGCAGGTAGGCTGCTTGGGTTGGAATTCTGGTTCTATTTCTCACCAACACAGTGACCTTGTCAAGTTACTTTGCCTTCTCTGCCTCAGTTTCTTCATCTGTGGCATGGAGATAATAACGGTACCTACCTCATAGGGTTACTGTGAAGATGAAACGTGACACAAGTGGAAGGATTGTTAATATTGGTATAATCACTACCAGCATGTGAGGTAAAGAGGGACCTATTATGACAAGAACCTGGGAAAGTGGTCCAGAGATAATGGAATCTGTGGCCAAGTTCTGAATAACGATGAGGATTTTAGTGTGCCATGATGGGAAAGAAGGGGCAATTCGCAGCTAAGGATTACCCTGAACGAAGGCCTGGAAGTAGGGAGAAGACGGTTAAGGACAGATGAGCAGGCTGGTGGTGTGGTACCATAGCAGGCACGTGAGCTGTAGGTCTGGGGTTGCAGAGGAGATAACACTGAGAGCCAAGCAGGCTGGGGCCTGACCGTAGGAGCTGACGGCCGCCAGGCTTCGACCCTGTAGGCAAGCACAGCCTGAGAAGAAGGGTATCACGGGGCTGAAGAACATGGATTCTGACTTTGAATCTCAGCTCCACCTCTGAAGAGCTATGTGACCTTGGGCAAGGTTACCTAATCTTTCTATGCCTCTCTTTTCTCACCTGTAAAATGGGTATGGTGAGGATTAAATGAGTGCTTAGGTAAAGTGCTTAGAGCCCTAGTCGGCACAGAGTGACTTATGTAAGTGTTTGCTGATGGAAGGCTCCCCATGGGCCTATGGCACCTCTTCCTGCCATCCTGACAGCCCTTCAGAAAATGATCATGAGCAACAACAGGGTCAAGGTTATAAGACTGCTTTTCAACTCTTCAAAAATACCACCACGAAAATAAATGCTCTCTTTTGGACAAAAACGTTCACGGTCCACGATGAAATTTCACCTCAGATGATAGACAAAGTCAGAGCTGGCACTAAACTGAGGCACACACACTACCAGGTGACATGACTGAGGCTGCCCAAGACTTCCTCAGATCACCCTGGCCTATGCGAAGTGGCCAAGCGCACCATTTATGAGAAGCTGGGATCTGTGCTAACTTTTAAATGATGGCAAAGGTTTTAATATTCGGGAGTGGGAGGGAAGGGCACGAACCGAATGTACAATCACAACTGCTTAGACAATCCCTAAGTCAAGAACTTACTTCCAGATCCATCCTTGACTCTAGGTCCTTCAGGCTTGGCTTCAGAAATAATGTTCGCGTTGGCGTTATTCTCCATCTCGATCACAAAGTCACTGTCCTCCTCGAACTCAGGGTGGCTAAAGATCCAATCCAGTGCTCTTTCCAGGTTACTATTCTAATAAAACAAAACATTTTTACAATGTATGCAGTCCCGGGGCCTCATTATATCCTGACCATTTGAACCAGGATGTCAAGCAGATAGGACAGGAGGCTTGAATTCATTAGTCCTAAGTGCCTCTGAGTAAGAAGCTCTGACCCTGCAATATGAAACACACTTTCTGTGGACATTCTGCAAGTCTCCCAACCGAAGTCTGTAACTGGATTTGCTGGAAAACAGCTCACAGCAGCAGGTCGGCACTGCAAAGCCCATATCAGTCGTAGCTCAGCATTTCTGTGGGCTGATGCTGATAACGATGGGAGGCAAAATGCCAAAGAGAAAGGCATCTGTTTCAGTGCAGCCTTTTCCAAAGCCACACTAATCGCACACGCTATCTTCTCTACCAACTGTATTTTGTGCAGATAACCATGCAGGGTAGAGGGAAGCCAACATGAGTACTGTGTCAGAGCTCCTCTCCTAAATGTTGGCAAGGTGGTTGAATTGCAGTAGAGACAAGACTGATGCCTTGATTAATGATGCCAACACTGGTTGGTTAAGTTACATTGTTTTAAACTGAACTCCATGTAATTCAAATCAATGGATCATAAAAACATTTCTGTCTTCTCCCTTTGTGGTACTACTTGGTGAGTTAAAGAATTTGTTTAGATGTAGTTAGAATCTCCAATTAAACAGTCAAGCGTAAAATAATTGGGTCATAAGCAAGTACCCCGCATACAGCAAACTCTGGTTGAGACATTTCAAGCATTTTAAAGGGAAACAGATTTTTCCCACCACACTGCCCAGAGCCAGGAGAGAGCCGCTGTGACCTCAGCAAGGGACCTCAGCAGGCAACCAGTCAGGATAAGCAAGAAGGAATTAGGAGCAGATATCCACTCAAAAATGGATTATGGTGTGAAAAAAAAAAAAGTACTTTCCTCCCTCAATACTAAACAGATATCTGCACTGCAAAAGGAAAGGTTCTGTCTACCCTCCCATTTCCTGGTCCCTTCTTTCCTGATAATATCAGGACTTCACAAATACCTGAAAAACCTTCTCTCTCTGTAGAGAGAAACAAAAGCAGAGAATTCCAAGGAGACTTCTCTATGAGGACTTTTGCTCCACTGCTCCAAGGTCTTGGTATCAGAAAAGCACAATTTCTCCAAAAGAACTGCCTTATTGAACACAGAATCTCAAGCATCCCTCTTTGCTCTAAGGCCACAAGCAAGCTCCAAGTCAAGTCTCTTACCTCATGCTAATAAACATTAAGATGATACAGAGTTTCTTTCAATTGGGTCAACTTGCCCCCAGTGTATTATCTCCCTCCTTCTTAAAATATCTCCTTATTCTTAAAATCTCTGTATGATTCCCTCAATCATTTATTTTAGCTTTATATATACTACACATAAATAAATCTTTGTGGGGCATGGTGGGGTATAGCATGAGACAGACATGATTCAAAACGATCAAAGGACATTGGAAAGTTTCAGTTGCTACTGACAAAGCACAAACTACCTCCAACAAGGTGTTCACATACAGTCTCCCAGGCTTACCGTTGCTCGTAGCGCCTGAAGAGCCTGATTTCGATGGAATCCCATGGAGGTAATGAGAGCTACAGTTTCCTCCGGAGGTTGGTTATCCAGTCCAGCAGAGGCTCCAGCAGAAGCTACTCCTCCATAACCCGGCATGGTCAGCGGCTCGGCAAAATCTGGGGAAAATAATCACACTCAGGCCCTTTTCTTTTTTCTTGGGTCTTGAAATAAACAACATTTTAGAGCTAAGAAGACAAAATACCTAAGGTTAAAATAATCAAGATAGTCTGGTACTGGCATAAGGATAAACATATAGATCAACAGACCAGTTAAATAGAATTGAGAGTTCAGATATAAACCCACATACCTATGGTCAACTGATTTTCAACAAGGCTACCGAGACCATTCAAAGGGGAAAGGACAGTCTTTTCAACAAATAGTACTGGGACAACTACATATCCACACGCAAAAAAAATAAAGTTGGACCCCTACCTTATACCATATGTAAAAATTAACTCCAAATGGATCATTGGTCTAAATGTCAGAGCTAAAACTACAGAACTCTTAGAAGAAAGCATATGAGAAAATCTCTGTGACCTTGGGTTAGGCAATGGTTTCTTAGGTACACCAAAAGCACAAGTGACAAAAGAAAAAAACAAACAAATTGGACTTCATCAAAATTAAAAACTTTTGTGCTTCAAAGGACACCATCAAGAAAGTGAAAAGACAGCCCACACAATGGGAGAAAATATTTGCAAGTCATATATCTGATAAGGTACCTGTATCCAGAGCTCTTAGAATTCAACAATACAAATAACCTCATTAAAAATGGGCAAAGGATTTGAAGAGACATTTCTTCAAAGATACATAAATGGCCAATAAGCATATGAAAAGACGTTCATCATTAGCCGTTAGGGAAATGAAAATCAAAACGACAATGAGATACCACTTCTCATCCAATGGATTGGGTATAATAAAAACAATAACAACGAGGGTTGGTGAGGATGTGGAGAAACTGGAACCCTCATACATTGCTGATGGGAATGTTGTACAGCCTGTTGAAAACAATTTGGTGGTTTCTAAGAAAGTCAAATGTGGAGTTACTATATGACACGGCAATTCCACTCAAAAGAAATGAAAACATGTCCACATAAAAATTTGTACACAAAATGTTTATAGCAGCATTATTCATAATAGCCAAAAAGTGGAAACAACCCAAATGTCTACCAACTGATGAAAGGATAAATAAAATTTAGTACGTCCATACAACAGACTATTATTCAGCCGTAAAAAGGAATGAACTACCAATACATGCCACAACATAGATGAACCTTGAAAGCATTATGCTAAGTGATAGAAGCCAAAAACAGAAGATCTAATATTGTATGATTATATTTATATGAAACATCCAAAATAGGCAAATCCACAGAGCTGGAAAGTAGACTAGTGATTGTCAGGGGCTGGAGAGAGCATGGGAAATGCCAAAGGGACTGCTATTGTGTACAGAGTTTCTTTTTGGAAATTAACTGGTGATGGTGGCACAATTCTGTGAATCTACTGAAAAAAAACACTGAAATGTACACTTTAAATGAGGAAATTATATGGTATGTGAATTATAGCTTAATAAAGTGGATAAAAGTAAAAGCTAACTAAACAGCCCCTATTTCTTCATGCACATTTTTCTATCTCAAGTCCTCCTCATAGCTAGAAGATTATCCCATATCTTTCCAATGGTCTTTTTGCTACTGAATTATACAATTTAAAAGGGTGAATTAATCTCAACAAAGCTATTATTTAAAAAAGGAGGAAAGACAAAGACTGTGACTTTGCTACATGGGCAAAATCACCATCCCCCAGCCTCATGCAGCAGATTATGAGCTGAAAGGTCATTTTCTGGGACACATCCAGAGGACACAGTAGGACCAAGGCTTAACATCACTGAGGATCACATCAGATTCCAAAGCCGTCCCATTTTCTGACCACCTACCTGGCTCTTCCATGTGAACAATGATCCAGTTGAAGGCCACTTCGGCTCCCATATTTCCAGTAAAATACACAGCCTTCCGACACGCTTCCAGAGGGAAACCCATCTCAGCCAGCTGCATCACCGATGACTCATCGATGTCTGATGCTACAGAGCACACAGGATATTCTGGTGTAAAAAAGTCAACCCTATTTCTTCTTGTCTTAGCTTCTCTTCGCCCCTTATCCACATGCTACCCAAAGAACGGGCTATTTTGTTTAATATGTACATGGTGGTTTAACTGTGTTTTGTTTTAAGCCATCCAAATATTAAGCTATTTCAGTTGAGTTTTAATCTTTTTTTTTTTTTGAGTTTTTTTTGAGTTTTAATCTTTGACCTAAATAGGAACCATGGTAATTACCTGAAAAATCCAAGCACTGAAAAACAACTCTCTAACTTCCTATGGGGAGATCTAGTGTATTCCCAGAACCATTTCAGTCTCTTACATCACTCTCAAGACCACTACAGCAGCCTCTCCTATGGACTGCTGAAATGTGAAGAGAAAAGCATTATCTACAGGCCAAAAAGCCTATTCCTTAAATCTCACAGAAGGTTATAGCAGGCCTTTAGATATATTAGCAATCAAAGGATGTAATCAGCTCTGAGAAATGGAGAGCCCAACGTTATGATAGAAGGAAAGAATGTGTTTGTTAATTGTATACATTTAAGATATTAAAAAAGATTGCTTTACAAACCTAACTTCGGTTTAGACACAGATTTTGTTTTCTTTTCACAACAATATATAGATATTGGTAGAGAGGTGTGTGTTTATCGATACACAGACATAAATATAGATCTGTATGTGTATGCACACATATACATGCTTGTACGCATATGTATACTTGTACATGGGTGTGTGTGTACACATACACACCTACAAAGTGCTGTCAAATTATACCAAAGGTGGGGAGGGAACAGGAACACAAAACATACCCCTTATGTTTTCCATGTCCTGAGGTCTGTAATCTACTGAAAACTCTGCCAAAGACAGCAATCAGAAGAACTGAAGAACAGAGACATCTGTTCTACAAAAATTGTACTGAAAATGTATTTACCAAAGTTGTCTCTCAAGAGGATATACAAAACATCCTATCAAGATAAAATTTTAAGAAAGCAATGATGTAGGACAACAGTGATTCCCCAGCTGTGTTCTATAGAATCCTAGTGTTCTAAGAGAGATGTAATTACTGAACCACAAAACAAGGGACTTCCATGGTCAAATAAGTTTTTTAAACCTGCATTCTCAATTCTCTCTAGAAATTCACAGTGTGCGTTAATGTAGTGAAAATTCTAAAGTCCTATAATAAAGACTCCTGCAGTAGGTTGGGATTAACACATACACACTACTATATATAAAACAGATAACCAACAAGGACCTACTGTATAGCACAGGGAACTATACTCAATATTTTACAGTAGCCTATAAAAGAATCTAAAAAAAGAATATATATATATATATATATATATATATATACACATGTATAACTGAATCACTGTGCTGCACACCTGAAACTAACACATTGTAAATCAACTATACTTCAGTCAAATAAAATATTAAAAATATTTTAAAATTTTAGTAACAACAACAAAAAAGACTCCTGTGGTAAAGAAACTATGAAACTCTTTCTACAGAATACTTTTCAACACCTTGTAAAAGATCCTGTTCCTTAATAAATGTATGCATGTATATAATAGCATATTAAATTGAAAATGTATAATTCCACTTTGGGGAAAATACAGTGAGCCAGGCACAAAGAACAGTAGAAGGACAGATGCCAAATGTTAATAGTGGTTATAGATGAAACCAGAGATGACTGTTTTCACCAATCCATAATTTCTACATATCTTTTCACTTTGGAATAAGAAAATAATCAAAGTTATTCCTTTTAAATATCTGAGAAAGGAAGGATATAAATGTAAATTAACCCAAGATAATACTGTTTTCTCCTGCTGACCATAGGTTATTGCTGATAAGACAGCAGGCTTAGATCAGGGGGAAAATGGAAAATGGCTGAATGCTCACTGTCTGTCAGGCTCTGACACAGTTCCAACCACCCATCACCTCCCCTGGGGCAAGATCCTGGAGGCGGGCTCTCTGCAGGGTCAGGGGCATCAAAACTCCTCACATTCCAGAAAAGGTCGAGTGACATGAAAAGCATGCTTGATGCCTAGCCCTGGCTCTGGTCCTAGCTCTTGGGTCTCTGAACTTTCCTAGGTCTCAGTTTTATCCTCTATAAAAGGTCACCTACTCTGCCCTTCTTACCGTGACATTCAAACAAGAATCTGGGCTTTGTATTAATACTACAGTTAAATACAGTTGAAAGAATTTATGGAGTAATAAACTCAACATAACTCATGGTAACCATTCAAAAATATCGTTATCATTACAATCAGATTATTTACAGAGGCAATGGTTCGCCCATGACACTCGCTGACCCTAACAGCCTTTCCCAACAATCAGCAAATCAAAATTGACCCAAGAAAGGAAATAGGGAGGTCTAAGCCACGTGATCGATCACGTAAAGCGTTTGCAAAGTAAAACACTTGAACTTCTAAGTTAACAACAGTGTCTCCAGAATGGCTTTGTAGACAAAAAGATTCAGAGTATTTTGTGTTACACACTCCTCCTTCCTGCTAATTAATATCTAAATATTCACTATAAATAGTTTATTTTTTTCATGTTCTTTAGAAAATCAAGAGTATCAGCTCTCACAGGTAATTAGAAGAACTAAGCGACTACAAAATTGACAAACAATCCGATGGAACTAACACCCTTAAGAGTATTAATTAATACTACCACGTCCTGTCAGTGGTATACCTTCATTATGTGTCCAGAAGCAGGAGTGGAAAAAGTGACAGGCCACTGTGCCATCACTGCAGAAGGAGGCCTACTCGTGGCCAAAGAGGGAAGAAATGGCATCATTATCCCCCGTTCACACACGAGGAAACTGAGGCTCAGAGAAGTTAATGATTCTAGATCACACAGTCACAAATGGCAGAGCCGAGATTCCAGCTCAGGGCTGCTTTGCTCTCACACTAATGTTCACCCTCGTGAACCACAGGGCCACCTAATCACCATGTCACTGGTTTAGATTTGCTGCTACCTCAACTTGCAGACCAAGGACTGTGCCCACCCGGAAAAGCTGCACATACACAGGTACAGAACAATGCCTCTTTACTGAATCCCACAGATAAATGAGTTAGACCGGTAACAACGGTAGGACACTGAGAAAAAACATAAAAGATACATACGGTCTATCAACTGGTTCATCAGGCGATCTGGAAATTAAAGGAGAGGGAGGGAAGTGAGACCAAACCATGGCAAAGTGTTCTGGAGAAAGAAAAAGAGTTAATCCGGAGCACTTGCTCACCACCACCACCACCCCTTGAGATCCCACACTGTTGTCAGCCCCTCCATCCCCCTATCAGACCACCCCAGCCTGCACGACATAAAGTCATTCCAGGAAGGAGGGAGAATACCAGGTTTCAGGCATTTGGAGCAGATAGACAGGACGCTCTGCTTATCATCTTATTGAACTAAATAATTTCCCTCCCTGTACTTCTAAGAACTCTGTATAACAAACCAAGGACTCTGTTACTGAACATGAGAGAAAGCAGGAGCAATGCTAATAAACCATCTTGTATTTCTCTGACATGCAAGACTGATCTCTTCTTTCTAGAACCTCTTTAATGAACCACCTGTACCCCACATAATCCAGGCTGCCCCACCTACAGGCCCCTTCCCTGCTCTCTGTCCTCTGTAATTTAGCATTTAGAGAATAATGTAACACAGGTGCCGACACTGAATCCTAGCTTGCTCCTCCTGGACTTACCTTACCCCAACATGGTCACCAATAATATACACTGCTCAGCTGATAGAAATCCTGTGGTGGCAGGGCCCCCAGCCATCTGGCACTATTAGCTAATGTACCTAATTAGCTCATTACGAAGGTGAACAGTAAACAGGTGGGCAAACAAAGCCACAATGAAAGTGATTTCACCAGAATAACTGAGCTAATAATGAAACCAAGATTTCTCCACGCTGCTTTGGGACTCACAAAGGCAATCATTCTTTGCATGTCCTTTTCCCTTTAAAAGTTAAGTATTTTGAACAAGGACTACTTTAATGTTCAGAGAGTAAGAGAAACTCAAACCGCTCCCTTGCTATGAAGCAGTGACAAAGATGGGGAGGTGAGACATGGGCAAGGTTTTTAAAACCAACACACATGGTTGAATTTCCCTTTTCGGTTCTCTAAAGGTACTCCAAGAAGGACACAGCTCCCCCAGACGAAGAGCCCACTGAAAACACACCCCTTCTCTTCCCCACAGGCCCATTAGGGGAAAGAGGGAGGCAAAGTCAGAGGCAACATAACCTAAAAACTTTCTGGAGATTTGCTGCCCTCTGCTGCCAGTGATTTCCACGGGCCCGTTTCGACCACTCACGATGGGTCTCTGTGCCTCTTCCCATGACTACTGTAAGCTTACAGTTGCAGCCAGGCTTCACTTCTGTGTGTCCACAGTGGGCTGCAACACAGGAAGGCACCAAGGGACAACGGAGTGGTGGAAGAAAAGAGACTATTCCAGCAGAGGAGGGGGGAGGGGTCGAGAAGGTCCTCCTGGCAGAAGATGGTACCTTTTGAGTCATCAGGAATAATTACGGGGGGGCTGATGTCCGGAAGTTCCTCCTCTCCTGGCTGTAACCCCCTGGCTCGGAGATGGTTGATATCAAGTAGGTCTGGCATATCAATAGAAACATCTGCAAAACGAGAGATTATATGCACTGGGCTCTCCAAATACCCACAATCACCTCCTAAATCCAACATCATTAACTCTATGCACAAGTGTCTAGGCAGAGCCAAGGGATGCTTTACAGTTCCCTGGAGCAAATCAAGGGACCAGAAGACTCACTGAGACTGATAGGATTTTAATGCAGAGTCAGGGGAAACACAGAGGCAGGGTTTCACACTGAACAAGAACAAACGAGGGAAACCAGAGGTTGAAAACTGGGAGCCCACAGAACACTTGCAGACACTTTCTGCTTGATATTTTTAAAATGTTGGCAACAAATTCCAATTTTTAAATTGGAAAATGTAATTCAGAAGTCCAGATTTCCAACTCACTTTGAAAAACAAACACCTGTAGCAGAGTCTCACGCGGCAACAACCACCTGGGGCTGATCTTTAGCTCCCACTCTAGGGCACCGTGTACCCTCTGTGCCCGTCCGTCACAGACCCACCACTCCCACGACCCTGAGCATCATATTTGTGCTATTCCGATTCTTATGGCAGAGAAATGTTTTCCTAATCCACGTCTTCATGCAAAATGGGAACACCTAAGAAAGACAAAGACTGCTATCGCTCCCTGTTTCTTACACCCAGCCTACTTCTTTCATTTACATTATCACCCTGTCCTTATTAGGCATCTGAGTTTGCAACCTGTAGTTTATGCCTTTTCTCAGATCATGATGGGTACTGTGATTATTCTACCTAAGGTAATAAAGAATGAAGCTTTAAGGAAATTAGTTGAACCTCAAGTGTATTCGTCTTGAGGAACATTTTTTTTTAACTTCTCAGCCCAGTTTTCATCGTGTTGATTTACTCAAATACAAAATGCATCAGTCTAACAACCTGATGAGATTTATAACTGCACACATTCAGATATGGTCATAGTGGAAAATGGGTTCAAATGTTGGCGGAGGACATGTCTCTCCGGCTAGCAAACAGAACCTGAAAATACTATCCCCAAAACCAATTATGATGCTAGGTATGTAAATCCTATTTTTAAAACAACCACCCAAAGAAAAGGCTTAGTTAAAAAAAAAAATTAAATCTCAGCAGAAAGCAAAATCAAACACAATGTCTGACCAACAAAATCAATACAATTGTTCCTCAACCGAAAATTTCAGGTTCATTAAAGAAAGCTTTGAGGCTGCTTTAATTTCAGCAAGACTGTGAAATCTGATCTGAGTTTTTTTATCCTTTACCGATATTCGAAGGACAAAGAAAAATAAGAAAACTGTTTCCAGAGCAGTTCAAAGTCTTCAGAAGTCAGTTTTCTCTCTCAGGTCCAAGGAGGAAAGGCTGAGTGACAAGCAGCCTGCCCTCTGCCCTCCTCCCTGCCCACAAAATTATTCCACCAGGAAAAGCAGGATAAGCTATAGGCTCACACGCTGCATAAAGCCACGTGGAAACAAGTGCTATGCAAACTGTTAGTGCCAGAGGTTTCTGGGAAATCACTCCCTCGACTTTACATTCTTTTTACTTATCACCTTCAGATGAGCAGATGAGTGCTTAATTAACCAGCATAGGGACTGATTGTTGTTTTTTAAGTGCTCAAAAACATAAAAACTTTAAAAGACTGGCAAACAGTCTGAGGTACTTGCTTGAGAAATCAGAGGGTAAAACTACATCCTTCCACAGCCCTGAGGACAGCCTAGGAACACCTTGACATTGGGTCGAGATGATGGAGAAAATGTTCCTGTGCATTGTCTGGAAAGCTAACCTCTAACAATGGTCAAGGGCTTTTAAGATTAGCAAGAAGAAAGCCCACTTCAGCCAAAGTCACATCCCTTTCTTGACTTTTTAATACAACTGACTATACTCATGTTATTATTAACAAAATGCAGATGACTTAAGCAAATGTCATTAGCCACACCTGCCTGCTTCAGAGGCAGAGGCAAGATGCTAAGAAGAGAGTATATTTTCAATTACTTGCACCTCCAAGCGTGGTTTTCAGACCAGCAGCATCAGCATCACCTGGGAATGTATTAGAATAAAGCACCCCTGGGCCCCCCACCCCCAGACCTGCTGAATCAGCACCTGCATTTGGTAAAACCTGCATTTTACCAAGATCTGTTAAAGTTTGGGAAGCATGGTTTGATAACGTGAGGCTCCTGTTTTCACTCTTAGAATCTGGTCATTCCAGAACCCATTATTAGAGGGATGGGTTAGCAGGTGGCAATTTTTTTTTTTTTTTTTTTTTTTACTATCAGTGCTTATCATATATTCTTATCTTTCAAAAGAGAAAAGTGGGAATCATGGAAAAAGAATGAAATGAAACTGTTTCTGGCAGCCAGCCACATGGGCTCTTTCACATGCCATGTTTTTTAAATAGCTAATTTGATATTACAAGCAAAAGCATGCAAAAGATACCTACCAAATTTTTTGGGAACCCAGTCAAGACCAAAAGTGAACTTCTTTATCTGCACTACCAAGTATTCAGGGAATGAGGCAAAGCGAGATGTTCTGGGAAACACAAGGGGATTAGATCAATGAAACAAGGCATTAAGAATTATGAATACAGTTCACGAAGCATCAAAAGCTGTGTCTGAGGCACACCCCGCAGTTCCAGTGGCTGCACCGAAGAGGAGGAACACACACACACACCTGAGTGGACACACACTCACCACCTCACCGTTCATCCTGGCTTTTTCACGAGAAGAAAATGTTTAACAGAGGACCATGCTGTCCCTGAGGATGATTTTGGGCACGTTGCAAAATTATTACTTTTACTTTGCTGTGGCATTTTATATTTCTGAAAACTGGTTTTCAACCATAAACATTTGTTTTCTTCTAAAACCCTTGCTAGAATTTAGTATATGTATTTGTAGGTGTGTGTGGGCACCTGTGCATTGTGTTTGTGTAGGTTTGAAAAAGCTCCCTGAGCAATCCTGACACACACCCAACCTGCTCCCACTAAGGGTCTCTATCTGGTAGCACAGAGTTGTCATAAGGAGGGTTTATTGGAAATTTGGTTGAGGCTGACTATTGGAAATGCCAGGGCCTCATTAAAATACTACTGCACCTAAAACCCATGGCCACATGGATCCTAAAGGTGTGTGTATATATCTAAATCTGGGCCTTAAATTAAAAAATTAATATATATGGTCAATGTCTTAAGTTTCACTTCAGACTTTCAGGAATGCTTAACTGCCTGAACGTGAGTTTAACAATTTTATGCACAAACTATTCAACTTATACACCAAATTCATGCCCCGGTTCCAGCTCATTCTCTCCACATTTATTATCTTTTTTAAACGACCATTTCCATTTAAGTGTCAATATGGGTACAGTAGGTATATGGAAAGAAGAAAATCAGCTGTAGACAGATACTACAGGTACCTTTTAAAATAAAAGATTCTAGAATATGCTCCTTACAAACTCTACTTTTCAAATGTAGTCACTGCCTTCTATGTGACATGCATCTTCCCAGAATTCAGAAAACAACGCTAATGCATTGCTGCCCCCTAGTGTACAAGAGAAGCCACGGTTCAGAGGCAGAGGACTGTCCAAGAAGTGTCAAAAGGCTTGGATGCTACTTTATTCACTCCAAATTGTACCCTTTTTGAAGCTTCATCTTCACATTTAAAAAATAGATTTATTAATAATTTCTACCTGCCAGGGTTGTGCAATGTTCATGAAATGACATGAAACTACCTGGCACACAAGACTGTACTGTGTATATCTAAGGAATCAGCATGATTATTTTGTCATGAAAGAGCTAGAATCCACGAGGCCCTGGACACTGACCTGGTTTGTCACTGATCTGTATTTTGCCCCAGGCAAGTCACTTAACCTCTCTGGATCTCAAACTCTCCATCACAAGGAGGGTAGAAGGGTACAGGCAATACTCCTCTTACAAGGGAGTTCTTCAAAAACCAGGAGCTGAAATATCATTAGCCTGCCTCACTCTCCAGAAATTATGCATTACTTCTAATTAGGTTTTCCTATCTTCTGAGAAGCAGTAATATCAATACATTATCATTCTTAAATATAGATGAATCCTCAGTTTCACCAAAAACCAAGAAACTCCATCTGGTATTTTCAACCACTGTAAAAATGTCCTCTCTGACCCCTTCCTCTTACCACATTCACTTAAAAACTGGAAAATATATAATAGTGAAATCAACCAAAAGTCATCAGTAAATCAATGATTTCCAAACTGTGGTTCAAGAGCCCAAAGACTCTTGCAGTTGCTCTACAGTCAGTATCTGGGTGAGGAATCAGCCGGTAATACCATGGGGTGCGGGGCAGTGGAGGAAACTCGAGGCTGGTCGGCTGGGGGGACTGGCGAGGGATAATTTAACACATCACTTTGTTATGGGTAGCTACCAACCTAAGAGTACCAGAAAGCAGGTTAGATGGTGCCCACATTACATTTACCCTAATAGGTAAACATTCCTTATTCATCTTTGTAACCTCTATAGGGTCTTAAGTTGAATCACACATGTAGTGACTGCTCAATATAAATGTGTTCAATCTCAAAATGAATACTTGGCATTCATTAACTGGAGGCTTGGGACATCAAGTTTGTTAAATCCAGCAAAGTTATAAATTATGCACCTCTTATTCCTAAAATCATTCCTGGAATTAAAATTTTTCTTGAAAAGTTATTTATTTGATAAATACCATTAGAATATAAATCATTCAAAAAGGTCTAGACAGACAGAGCAAATTTACCTCAAAGAATTGTTACGGGAACTGAGTTAGGACATAAAGTGCTTTGAACTTTATGTCGTAAGTGCCTGACAACAATACATCATCTATCGCAACCTATTATTATTTAAAATATAACAAGTGTTCACTTATTACAATTCAGGCAAAAACATTATGAAAGCCTTAAGAAAATATATATATAAACTGTCCCTCTCCCTGAAATTGACTATTTTATTGAAAACCTGGTCGCTAAAAAAATACAATTCTATCCTTTCCACTAAATATGTTGAAAACATGATAATCAACCACAGTCAAATTGTACAATCCAAGGCAAAAAAAAAGATTAAAGTAATGTAATTACAGTACATATTTACTCCACCAGACACTGTACAAAGCATTTTATGTAGCTTATCTGTCTTAATCCTCACCTCAACCCTGTAAAGAAAGTTCTTTTATTATTCCCAGTTTACATATAAGGAAAGAGGCTTATGGAGGCGAGGTCACTTGGCCAAGGTCACATACCAGTAAGTTCTATGCTGAGAATTCCAACGCTGCCAGTCTACCTAAAGCTTGTGCTCTGGAACCCCACACCGTGCTTTTCTCTTTGTAAATGATAAAGGTCAAGACAAAATCTCTCCCTGTTGACCCTTAATCCATGAGCTGTTTGAGGGGAGGAACTAGGTCTTGTTCAATTCATTGCCCAGAATATACTAGATGAGCAATAATATTTGCTGGGTGAATAAAATTTCCAAACACTAATATTCTTCCCAGTCACTGTCTGTTCAGGACCAATTAAGGGAAGGCTCTTTATGTCTGGTCCATACTGACTCAAGATCTACCAAGAGGACATCTTTTGCCTCTTCCTGGCCTTTCAGACTCTGGGTCTAACACAAGAAAAATTCAAGGCCCCAAATTAACATAATAAGGAGATAATGTCTATACTACTGGCAATAAGAAAAAGAAAGAAAAAAAGATCTTTTAGGAATCCACTGAACTGGTTTCCCCAAAACTATTATTTGAAACATGATAAGGTATAATAAGGAATAAACAAGGCTATATAAGGATTATAAAGATACAAACATAAGCAAGTACGATAAGAAACATGTGGGCAGTGTATAACACAAGGATTAAGAGTTTAAACTTTGAACTTGAATGAATTCCAAGTCTGCCACTTAGTGGCCAATTCTTTTATTTCCTCGTCTGTAAAGTAGGGAGAATAATGCACCTACCTCATAGCAATACTAAGAGGATTAAGTGATAACTGATGGGAAGCACTTAGCACATAACCGGGAATAATAAATATGCCATAATGGTAGTTGCTTTATTACCCTAAAACATTGGTTTTTCCTTTCCCACAAGACCAGTTTTCAATTATCAACAATTGTGATACATCCAGTACTAACTCTTTCATATGCATTTAACCATAAGAGCATGTGTGTATGCAAAAGACAGAGAAAATTTAATATCTACTGTTAAGGCTTAGAAAAAGCAGAGACCCCTCCTCAAGGATTCTAGGTCAATTATGTTAGCACTGCCTACAACTAAATATTTTGTAGCATTTGAGGAGAAAATCAAGTCAGCATGCATTATTCCTCCACTCAGGTGTAAGAAGGAATTGGGTGGTGACTTTGCCCCAGGATAGAACACAAGCTGGGAAGTGGACACAGGAGAAGAATCCAGATCTCCCAGGGATCAGAAACTGTCTCTGTGGAAAGCTAACACTTCCTAGCTCCACTTTAAAGATGGGCCTTTTCCTAGTGATGAGAAGCCTCCTTCCCTAAGGTCCAGAGAGTGACAGACTCTCTGGGCCTTAAGGAAGACTCGCCACCACTTTACTGAAGAGCACAAAAGGGTGACCAAGTGGACAGGCCAATGAAGATCACTCTGCAGCTCACATGTGATGCTGGGGGCTTTCTAAGCTTAGAAAGCCCCCGATCACTTCCACCCCATACAGTATCAGAATTAAAGCACAAAGAGAAAAGGATGTTTGAGGAATCTTCAGCCTACTGTCAATAATTAAATTTAGGAAAACAAACAAATAAAAATCCACACACTGTACACAAAGTCACACAATGTTGTATATGTTTCAAAAAGTTGAAAGAAAAAAAAAGTTGTTTCCACCACTAATATAATATAGTGTGTAGCTTTCTAACTGCCCAAAGATGTGTCCAAGTTGTAGTGAAGTGAATCTCGAACATTTAACATGCCAGCTCACCAACTGTTATCTTCAAGGACACACACAAACACACGCACGTACACACACACACACACACACACACACACACTACAAAACTGAGCAGTCCTCGGATGAAAACTTACCCCACAATGGATAATGGATAATGGAACTATTATTAATCTCATTTAGACATGAAGAAACTTTTTAAAGGAAATTACTGTAAGAAAATACGGCTTTTTTTAAGCTCTTGAAATAAATTCTTGTTTTCCCATTTTTAACACATGAAGTCGTCATCTGAAACAGAGGCATCCTGAGAGATGGCTGTCACACAGAATAAGTAATTCAGGTTTGACTGCTACTTGAAGTTGTGATAAAAACAGGCAGCAGTAGCTCGTCCATGCTTCCCTGACCTTCACATCAACAAGAGCTCAGGCATAGCCTAGAAGAAAAACGGCTGAAGAATATCTAGTAGTAGTAAGACTACCAGAGCCTAACTTTTAGACCTTCCCCCTTTTTAGGCCACTGTAAATACTCTTTCTCCAGCTATATGAAGTGTGCCGGCAAAGACTTGACTGTGTTAAATCAATTAAGGTGTCAAGTGGAGAAAAAAATTTTTTTTTAATGTACCTGACAATAAGGCTCACAATATAGAAACAGAACATCTCCTGACCACATCCTGGGCAGCTCATTGGAACAATGCTCAGGAGCCCTGATGTCCACTTTGAGATGCCCTGAGACCCCGGATCTCCAGGCAGGTACACAGCCACCAAGTTCTAAGCCAAATCTCTCATTCTGGAATCAAAAATCTATCACAGTGGAGTATAAATACTTAAGACTGTCATAAGTATTTTTCTAATTTCTTCATTAATATCATCTTGCCATGGATGGGGAGGGTTCTTGGCTATACCCTCGACAAAAAAAAAAAAAAGAAAAAAAAAAGAAAAGAAAACGCAAATTCCCTATAAAGGATAAACTACAACCTGGCTTCAAAAAAAAAAGCATTCACTTGCACATGATACAGATTATAACAACCCTGTTTTACTGGACAGGTCTCACACTAGTGAGGTCTACAACAACTAGTGTTGTGTAAATCATAATCCCATCCTGCCACACATGAGCAAGCATGCAGACCCGTACAATGCCCCCCAACCCTCCCCTAACCCGGTCCCCACCTCTCAAGACCCCCTCCTTATCCTACTGCCACCACACAAGAGCACACACACTTACTTCACACCCGCAGACTTTGCTTGTAGGGCGCTGCTCCAGAAATCATCAACGTTTTCTGGTTCAGAAAAGGCCTGAAGGCAGGCGCTAAATGGTATCTTGGCACGAACCAGCTCGGGAAGGGGTCTTCTGTTTGCTTCTGCTTCCCTTCTCGTTAGTTCATAGGCGATCAGTTCATCTGAATAAAAGAGCAAATGAATGACTTTGCAATCACTTAATTTCGTGAAATGAAAAAGACCCCCTTGAACAAAGAACCATCTTTGCTGAAGGTTTCTGGGGTGGGGCAGGATTGCTCACTTTGCTGCCCTCCACAGAACCAGAGGAGCCTGCTGAAATCCTGTTTAGAGTGGCACTGCCAGGATGCATCGAGCCATTCATAATTTTTTGCCTGTTCCCCTTTGAGACTGACGGGAGGGAACTTTGAACTCCAGCCCAGGTGAGAGGTTCAGACCACGCATGTGCTGTTAAGTGATTCACAAACCTGGACTTTCATTTGTCCAGAGGTCAAGGCTGGTTTGATCCCAATACCACCCTCTAATCACAAAGTCTTCACACCAGAGAATTTCACACTGAAAGAAATCCGAGGGCTCACCTCTTCCTGGCCCTTCACTATGATTACAGGTCATGGAGGGTGCAGGCCAAAGAGCAGGATGAACTATAAGGACCGCAGTTATCCAAGGCACCCAGCCCATGATCCTACCCAGCACTGCCAAGACAACTTCGTGTTGGCATTACCCGACACTGCAGAGAGCAGAGCGGCCAACCTAGAAGGCCTTTCTACACTATCCTGTTCAAATGGTTACACACCAAGGGAAAAAGAAGTGAGTGCACCGTGAACTTCCCAAGAGTCAGCAGATCTGCTCTACGTGTAAGTCAAAATTGTATATAGATTTCAAATGGACCTTTCTGGGAATTTCTTTTGTTACAAAAAAATCCTGATTTATCAGGTTTTAGACACACTGATATACCTTTGTGTTTTCTTAAACACATCTGAATATGCTTTTATAGTTCATTCCCCAGTCCAAAATCAGTTGATGATGGACTTCTATCTAGGATGCTAGCATTAGGTGTTCCCAGCAATCAATTTCCTGAGACTAAATTTTAAGTCTCCTTTCTGAAAAAAAAAAGGGAGATTTACCACTCATAGATTCTGAGTTAGGATCACAGAACTGAGCACAATATGTTAGTATCCCCAAGGTAGGCAAGAGACAGCAATTAAGCCTAGTGCTAAAAAGGAAACAAACCACAGACCCCCCCCCCATTTCTACTTTGTATAATGAATAAGAATTAAAAAACTGGTCAAAAGCTGCATGAGTTTATAGAAAATGGAAATCGTTTCACCTTAAAATCATCATAATCACCATTTTCCAATTAACACAATAAAGTGACTACACCCCAAACAAACAAACAAACAAACAAAAAAGGAAAAAGGCCGTCCAGGGAGTTGTTAAACTTTACAAAAATGACCAGTTCACAGGAAATAAGCAATCTAGCAGATATTTCTCCTTGTTCTGCTTCTAAGACGCTAATTCTAAGAAATACCATTCATCTATTCTGCTTGGGAAGAACCAGATCAGACTGACTGAAGGAACCTTCCCCTGAGGTCCCCCCACCTTCCTCCTGCTTCCAAGGTCCAGAGACCCTTCCAAGGAGCTTCGCCCCACAAAGAGCCCTGCCACACTTTATCTCCCACAACAGGCATCTTACTCGGATGCCAAAGCTGGATTATTTTTAAGAGGCCTCTCTCTGCTTGAATGTCTCACATCAAAACATGCAGTTCTGGGGCTTCCCTGGTGGCACAGTGGTTGGGAGTCCGCCTGCCGATGCGGGGGACGCGGGGTCATGCCCCGGTCCGGGAGGATCCCATATGCCGCGGAGTGGCTGGGCCCGTGGGCCGTGGCCGCTGGGCCTGCGCGTCCGGAGCCTGTGCTCCGCAGCGGGAGAGGTCGCGGCAGTGGGAGGGCCGCGCACCGCCAAAAAAAGCAAAAAAATAACATGCAGTTCTGATCACTCCCCTCAGACTTTCCACACAACTTGTGAGTGATATTAAATTACAAATAATTTCCTCTAAATTAAGCTGCCTCTAAACCAACCAGTTGGTCAAATTTATAGGCATTGAAGTAGGTTCCCTCCATAAGCCCTCCACAAAAATGTCAAAAGAGAGTCACATGGGGACTGAGGAAAAGATGAAAAGAGACATGCAAACCAGACACCGTCCGGGCTGGGTCTGCTCCTGATATGACTTCGCAGAGACTGAAATGCAGTATCGCGGACTTGAGGGTTTTCACGTGGGAAGAAACACACTGCTCATTTCCCACTTTAGAACGTTACCCTTGTTGGTTGCCGCCTCCATGGCCACAGGTAACTGCATCAGGTAATCCACCCTCTCCGTGTAGCGGACTTTTCGGGTCTGACAGCACTGAATACGTTCTTCCACCAAAAACCGAAAAACATCACTTGGGTTTTCTGAGCCAATGCGGTTCCTCTGAAGGTTGGATTATAACAAGTTAGTAAATTTGTGGATATTAAGCCATGAATAAAAATTAGCACAGAATCAAATATAAAACTGGTGTAAAGATCTGGTGTTACTAAACGCTCCCTCTGGGCATGCCAGTTCACCAGAGTACAGGAAAAGACTGGTAGTTACCTAAAGTCCAAACATGGGAGATTGGTTAAATATAGTTCATCATGTGAACTAATATTATGCAGCCGTTAAAAGTCATGTCAGAGGGACTGAACTAGAAAGAATTAGAAGAAAGGAGATGTGGAAGCCCAACTAAAGAGAAAGGGAAAAAAAAAAATCAAGGACTGCCCTGGAAAAATTAAGCCATGTATGATATGATTATATAAATGCACTAATGTAAATTATACAGAAATAAAAAAGAAATCATGCTATATTCCAGTAGGTAATGACGTGGCAAAACGTTCACAATAGGTTAAGTGAAAAGCACTGCTCACAAACCAACACGTAGAAAATGGATAGCACCTGGAAAATGACTAGGGGGGAAGGGTCAGACACCAAAATGTTAGCACTGCTTGTTTGTGGGAGCAGGTAGCATGGGAGGTTTTGATTTTCTCCTTTGTGCCTGTTTCCACAAGGAACACATCTGTCATCAGGAAAAAAAAGTAGTTATTTTTTAAGAGAGGGGAAAAAAGCCTTTAATCATGAATTCTCAGTGGCCTTTAAAAAACCCCAGCATTTATTAATGTGAGTCGACTCTGCTCTGAGCCGAGTGACCATCTCAGAGTGATGGCAGGAGGACACCAAATACCACATGGGACTCTGAAGGAGCTTATCACAGAGACAAAAAACAAAAAAAAGGCAAATGAAATAATGGATAAACACTCCCAGAACACGTTCAAATTAGGTGGAGAACAGAGAGTCCCACAAGTGCCCAGGAGGCCAGGCGTGAGGGGGTATTACATCAAGCGGTCCGAGCAGAGAAAGGCCCAAAGACGCCGACTCTGAAGGAGCCTGGCCAGAGAGAGACTTAGGTGGGGCGTGGAGGGGCGGAGCATTCCAGCCACACCAGCAGGGACTGCACGCAGGGGTGGGCACACTTCTTACAAGCCTTTTGAGCATTTCTGAAGACTGACTTACCTCTACTAGATTCACCAGGTGCAAGAAAAATTCCTGGGCATCCTGCTGTCTGTTAGAGGAGAATTCCGGGTGGCTCCTGCTCACAAAGGCCTTAAACATGCGTGGTGAGATCCCATTCTGTTGAGGCTAAAAAATAAAAATAAAACCAACTCACAATACTTTCATACACATTAGCAGCACTAAGTGGGAAGCAGGGTGGGGATTAACATTAGCCCCGATTTCAGATAAGAAAACTGAAGCCCCCGTTAGCTAAACAGTGATAGCGGCCAGCATGCACTGGATGTTGATTATGTACCAGGCACTGTGCTATGAGCCTGACATGAGAACAGGATGGGGCTCTTCCTGTTGACTTCCTCTGAAGGAAGTTAAAGGAGAGGAGAGGTCTACAGCATCTCCTGTCCCCCCCACCCATGAGGGAACAGGAGAAAAAGTAAAGGAAATGGCTCTGCAACGCCCCCAGGCAACCACTGCAGAGCTGTCGGGCTCATGGAGCTCCAGGAGCTTGCCCTCACCTGGAGAAGCGGAAGGAGGCTGCCTGCAGCTGCCAGGATGGGAAAAGCAAGGACAACTTTGGCTGACGAGGATGTGTGACCTTCCCCGGGGGCTAAAAGGACAGCTCAGAAGGCAGCCAGGCTCCCCCAGAAAGGACACTGCATAAGATGATGGGAGGGCAGCTGAGGAGACTACGGCAGGGGGT